AATACATTAAGGAGGCCGTCTCATCACATCGAGTGATAGCCAGGCCATCGCTTGAGTGAAATCCCAATGGGGAACGACGAGTGGCTCGTCAGTTCGAGGCTGACATTATGAAGTTTAACCTCATAATATGCAAATATCAAATGGAATATTAATCTGCAAATGTCGAATTTGATTCGATTCCGAATTCGATTTTCAGCCTTCAGCCACTGTCAACCGTGCTAATTTGTTTATTAGATATATCACAAACAGAGTGAAACAGTATTATTTACTGGATGACAAAGTTTCCAACAGAATTCACCGTTAATTATCATATCAGTCATGATAATTGATATGATTATGAACATTAACAGATTGTGTTCGAAACTTTGTCATCTGGTAAATAACACTGTTTCACTCTGTGTGTGATATATCTAATAAACAAATAAATTTGTAATTACATGCTACCACAGTGCCCAAGTTTCACACATATATTCACTGTCCGCCTACAATTGAGTGCGTGTGGACAGTTTATCTGTGTGTGAATGTGATTGTTTCACTTCTCAGTAAGACACCGAGGAGTTTCAGAATATCCCGGTTTCATCTGATAAATATTCCCTTATTAGCTCTAGGTACGCTACACACTCTTAGCAAATAGGACAGATGTGCATTATTAGGTTACCGAAGCACTAATGCAACTCTGAAATTCAATTTCATATTGACCGTTTTCTTGCACCGAATTATTTAGCCTCTGCTTACTTAAGAGGTGATTCAACGATGACGTAATTCTTTTCATAAGTTTTAGAAACACCTTGATTCCCGGATGACGGATACAGTTGAATCGATAGAGCTGGTTTGCCGTGCTCTTGCGAAATTGGAATATACCAACTGCACATTAATGTGGGACTAGATTTCATCTAGCAGTCTTGTCCACGACTACTCCCAGTTTCATACAAATCGATTTACTTCACTCGGTTACTCAATCAAACGATAGTCACAAGTGATGCGCCACGAATCTACAGTCATTTCGAATCTCCATCTCAGTGAAATCGCCAACCCGAAAGGCGGATGAAATATTTCAGAAAAGTAACAACACACTAAATTATGCACCTAGTTGTCAATTACAGTTATGAACATACTCCTAAAGCAACTTGAAATCTCATACAACCTTCTATTATTATCCGGTTTGATTTCCCTTAATCGCGACAGTATTAACTGACTTAATAAATTTAAAACAAATACTCGTGACTTACAGAAACATTCGACAGTGAAACTCTTTCATTCTCCATGAAAAATCATGAAAATCGCTTGGATCCATAGACCAAAGACGTTCAGCAGCCACAGCAGTTATTGGCCTTGACATGTTGTCAACATAATTACCCCGTTGATATGAAAGTGAAATGAAATGTCGTTTTATAATACATGTCAGCGATAAAGTGGTTGGCTGTATATGTATGTGGAATGCTCGATTCTGTGTATGATAAATCAGCGTATATGTATGCTCTAACCTAGTGCTGATTGAGTAGTTCAACTTGTTTCTGGATAATTCCATGATAATCGAATCATATAGGCAGACTGATTTCCTTATCAAGCAGAGTGAAGTATATTCTGGTGGCTTGAACCACTGGCTTATGCAATGCTGCAATCAATGAACTGAAAACTGCCTGAGGTGTTTATTGGCAATGTGTAATCTCGAGGTTACAGATACACCTGACTGTGGATTCTCCAGAGACACAACCTAGTTCTATGTACTAGCGATTGAGTGATCTGAGTATTCGGCTACCAGTCACCTCAACTAAACTGGCTCAGTACTCTGTGCTCAGTCGAAGTGACACATCTCTGACGCTTTCATCTCGGAAGAAGCGAACGAGCCTTTCACTGTTTAAATCAATCGATTTGCCTAACAACTATAAGCGGTTAATATGAGTTGTGTTCAACAAGAAAACACCCTGCACTTATGTTTACTGTCTTGATTTCGATCAATGATATCAGGCTGCTCACAGAGTGATGTCTGAATAATTTTAATTCCTGAGGAATGTTTCAGTGCAATTTTACCATGAACTGAGTAATCTGAAAATCACGAATTCATTTGTGCTAATTGCGAAATTGACATCAACTATAATTAGACAGTCTCTCTAACTAACTGTTAACAACCATCCAACATGCCATCACGATTGATATTCTTCTAGTCTTGTGACTAAAAATCACTTTTGATTTATAGAACTAGATCATTGTGAAGATCTTAACGGCCCAACACGTCATCTGAAACCCATTCTGTCAGCCACCTGCATAAACCCCCTATGATGTTCGAATCAAAACAAATATATGTGGTTATACTGTGGTGAGGGCTGTCTGCAAGCCAAAATTGTAGACATCAGTTTAAGTCAATATTTACCTCCCGAACCAGGGTTATGAGAAAAAACAATAATAAAGCTTAATCTTGAGGAACTCACCAACCAGTCATTTCAGACTTGACCTTTGCAGATAGAATTCGCAGATATATGACTTAACTTTCTAAGAAACCGTCATGAGCAGTAGAGAATAACCTTCAGCCAGCAAACAACCAATCAGAAGAAGTTGCTTCTCCGCTGACAGTAATGTACATTAAAATCTATACACATCTGTTGATTTTCTCAGTAAATGATCTGTTGCCTGAACCTTGTCATCTGTCGTTACAATACTATGCCTTCAGGTTTTTGCAGTTAATCTCAAGCTGCATAACTCTACCGTCACTCTGTGGAAATACCAAATGAATGTCATTTCCACACTTTTATTGTCGCGTGTATACCATGTGATGAATAAAGATAGGGTTTAGTGAGTTTCCAATCAGTTCCAGGTGACATCTGTTCACAGTCCGCCATATTCAGCTAATCATATTATTGCTGTCTATTTTGACACTACTCACCCCACATTTATTTTCAAGGTACTAGAGATATTTGTGTCCAACAAACACCTGATGAGGAAACAACAGAAGAAGTGCATCTGCCCATCAAGACACGCTTCACAGATATTTTCGACATGATCTGAGTATTAGCAAATTACCTTAAGCAAGACAGTTACTAAATTCATTCTATCAGTGTATAATGCGGTACAACATCCACTGTATGATGTCCTTCGTCAGTGTAATGCAGCAGTGTCATAGAAACCACAGAATTTCATAGAAAACTAATAGAATATACAATCTCGTAGAACAATTATGTTGAACTTTGATGTGAAATTCAATGTGAATTCAATTTTCAGCCAACCTTGATACTTGAAAATCTGTTTAGCTAATCGATTACAATATCGATCGTCAATTGCTTACCATGATCGTAAGAAAACATTAGTGTCATCCACATAAGTTCCCCAAATGATGACTTCTCCACCAATAACCAACTGAGCTTCTTCATCAGTACCTGTTCACGATGAGAAGAAAACAGTAATTCATCAGTGTTACTGCAAAAATGTAGTGAAGACACTTTAGCACAATGATTGTAAATATTTCCTGCACTATTTTGCTGTGAGCATGTGGAATGCTGTCGGTGTTCAGACACCTGTACATTTCACCGATCTCCATTCTGACCTAATCCAGATATCCTGGGTGAATGAATTCCATGATATCTCATGAGGAAGGTCAGTCAGTATAGTGGTGTCTGAATTATTATTTATTCCATATTTTGATCATCACTCTGGAATATCGCCTGATTCGTCTCAGTCGCATGTACACACATTCAGTCGACAACGGTCAAGTGTGAAATGGAAACTTAACATCTTGAAATAATAGAGAATATTTGTAGCTCATGTGGATGATTTGCAATTAGTTGTGTTCCCCAGCTGGTTGGTTTAATTACGGAGCTTTCGTCATCCACCTTCTGGACAACATCCCCTTTCAGCACAATTTTTAGAATAAGGGGAATTTCTTTAAATTCTCCATGAATGATAGAATTGTGTCTCCTGGTAACCATCTTCGTGACTGGTAGTCAACTTACTTCTGTACTGATCAGTTTTGCTGACATGGACTTTGAACTTTCTCATCACGTGACTCGCTTTTCAGAAGCTGGTAAATTTGTTCTATATTAATATGTTTGCTAATCGCTGGCTGATTCGTTTGGGTACCAGGCTTCTAGGAATTCTCTGGCAGTATTTTTGGTGTTTCCTCTGTTTAAAATTTCGACATTATACCAATCATATTGATGTCCATAATTATGCACATGCATTGATACGAAACAGGAATATATATATCATGTCTTTTCACAGCTAATTTGTGCTCTTGGATTCTGATTCGAAGCGGACGCTCACTTTGGCCGATGCAGTGACTATTGCAGTTATTGCATGCAATTTATTTCGCAAAAGGAAATAATTTTATCTTCTTTTTCTGTTGGATCTTTCGGTTTGCACAATATCGAATGAAGTGATTGTGCTGGCTGGCTGGCTGACTTGTGTGTTATATCTATTTGAAACTGTTTCAGTATTCTAGCTGTTATTTCACAGATAATTTTTATATATGGTAGGATGAATCTTCTTGTAGTCTTTGATGCTGGTTTCTTGTTGGTGTTGTGACTCAATTTTAAACTTTTTAATGAAATTGTGGAGATGTCCATTCTTTTTGAAGACGTTTAGTGGGTATTTTCCTTCCATTCTCTTTAACACCGGAGCAGTGCTACAGTGTGTTTGAACTCTTTCAAAACAATGTCTTTTGTGGGTAATTGGTTTATTACTACTGTAGTTGAGTATTTGGTCTGTGTGTCGGCGTTGGTTTTCTATATACTTGTGCTAAAACCTGCGCTGAAATGGGATGTTATCCAGAAGGACGACGAAAGCTCCACAATTAAACCAACCAGCTCAGAGAACACAACTTATTGCAAAGCCTAACATCTGCTTCGATACAAGTCTCGATACCGAAACATTATACGACCACAAACCACGCCTTCCACTGCATTGAGACTTGTCGAAGTTCTTTTGAGAAAACAGACAGGAACAGCCCCCCGCTCTCTATCATCAATTGTTTGCGGCATTAATAACTTATTCAAACATAACATCAAAACTACCTCCAAATGCAGCAGGATCACAATCGTTCAGCGTCTTCCATGCATCCTCGAAATTCCTAACAACGTTCGACCAACACGCTGAATTGATCACTCTGTAACCAGATGATGTGATTGACTTGGTGACAGCTTGCCAGTCGGAATTATCGTGTACTTGTATGATGACGGCATTGTCATTACCCTGGTAATGTAAAATATCAAATATTGTCACTATTTAGATGATCATAATAATAATATTATTATAATAATGATTTACTTTATTCCAAAAACAGTACTTGTGATACAGAATGGAATTTTCAGCATTAATCACAATATTGCGTCTAATTTCCTCAAATTATGGATAAAATTTATCACAGAAACTTTTCTGCATTTACAATAGGGGTAATATAAAAAAAACATGCAGCATATAAAATGGAAATAATAATAATAATGATAGCAGCTAAGAAACTGATAATAATACAAGTGAAAATTGCCGTGGGCTTGTTTCATACAGTATTGTCTATGCGGCATACAAATCCTTGCATGACTAAAAATATTGAATATAAAGTTCTCTTTACATGATATAGTGAGGGAAAAAAGAAAGACTACAGAAGTCATAGAGATAATTTGGTGTTTGCAGTTATGAAAGTAAAAACAAAGAATCAACAGGACCATAAATATGATAGAAATTATAAAAGTGAAACTTGAAGGTATATAAGGATGGATGGATGAAGGAGATTGTTTATTTACTAGACACTAAAAGACAGATTCAGCGAAGAAAATTTTCTTTATCGACGAAATCATCTTCAGAGGCTGTACAATCGTATTTATACTTACAAAAATATATAGTGGTCTATTATTGAGTAATAGGGGGTGACATAATTGATATGATTACTCAGAAGTGGCTTTAGAAGTGAAAATTAGAAGTTGAAAATTACGTGGTACTCAACGGCAAAAAGATAGAAATTTGATAAGGTTAAAATTGCTACTAAGTGAGAATAAAGGTATTTGAGTGTCAATTTAACAAGTGTGAAGAGGGTGTGAAAATATACAAAAGGAGCATATGAGAGTGATAATAGTGAATTAATTATTAAAGCAAAAGCTAACTAAAAGTGAAATTAGAATGAAAAGAAAAAATCAAAAATTTTTTTATTTACAAGGAACGATTAGTGAAGAGGTTAAGACCAAGGTAGAATAAGAGACTGGAAAAACTTTTTCTGTATACAGAGTTCAGGGTTGTATTGATGAATTGCTAGAGCTTCCGCCATACACAAAAGCCGAAACCTGACGCCCTTTGTACCTTTGGCTTCACTTTGTAGATGATCTTGAAAGACGACTCCGGTGGAGCTACGTGGCCTGAGTTCACCGAATGCTCGAGAATTGAGCCAGTAATTATCTTACACCGTTCTCTTTGCTAACCATGCCGGATTATTGCTCAGAGATGCGTTTGGAAAGCGTGCGCTTTGTGCGGCCAATATAACTAGCTCCACACGAGCAAGTGAATTTATAAACACACATTGAGGTGGCCCAAAGCGACAGTTTATCCTTCACACACCCGTTGATCATTTGTCGGCTGTAGAAGTTGATACGTAGCTCAGCCATAAAGAAGGCTTTCCTCAGTGATCTGCATAAGCGATTCTTCAGGATCTCAGCTGCGGTATCACCTTTAAATTCGACACTCATAAACAGTAGTTTCTTCGGCACCGTCTGTATTCTTTCAGGTTTTTCCCTTGGCTTCATGTTTTTCTCGATAAAGTGTAAAACCTGAAAGAATACAGACGGTGCCGAAGAAACTACTGTTTATGAGTGTCGAATTTAAAGGTGATACCGCAGCTGAGATCCTGAAGAATCGCTTATGCAGATCACTGAGGAAAGCCTTCTTTATGGCTGAGCTACGTATCAACTTCTACAGCCGACAAATGATCAACGGGTGTGTGAAGGATAAACTGTCGCTTTGGGCCACCTCAATGTGTGTTTATAAATTCACTTGCTCGTGTGGAGCTAGTTATATTGGCCACACAAAGCGCACGCTTTCCAAACGCATCTCTGAGCATTATCCGGCATGGTTAGCAAAGAGAACGGTGTAAGATAATTACTGGCTCAATTCTCGAGCATTCGGTGAACTCAGGCCACGTAGCTCCACCGGAGTCGTCTTTCAAGATCATCTACAAAGTGAAGCCAAAGGTACAAAGGGCGTCAGGTTTCGGCTTTTGTGTATGGCGGAAGCTCTAGCAATTCATCAATACAACCCTGAACTCTGTATACAGAAAAAGTTTTTCCAGTCTCTTATTCTACCTTGGTCTTAACCTCTTCACTAATCGTTCCTTGTAAATAAAAAAATTTTTGATTTTTTCTTTTCATTCTAATTTCACTTTTAGTTAGCTTTTGCTTTAATAATTAATTCACTATTATCACTCTCATATGCTCCTTTTGTATATTTTCACACCCTCTTCACACTTGTTAAATTGACACTCAAATACCTTTATTCTCACTTAGTAGCAATTTTAACCTTATCAAATTTCTATCTTTTTGCCGTTGAGTACCACGTAATTTTCAACTTCTAATTTTCACTTCTAAAGCCACTTCTGAGTAATCATATCAATTATGTCACCCCCTATTACTCAATAATAGACCACTATATATTTTTGTAAGTATAAATACGATTGTACAGCCTCTGAAGATGATTTCGTCGATAAAGAAAATTTTCTTCGCTGAATCTGTCTTCTATTTTCTTCATGACTCAATGGGTATTTTCGGTCATTTACTAGATGTTTAAAGGTTAGTCAATTCTTGCCTCACATTATTATCATATGTGTGAGATTGGCATTTCAGAATAATATCTATCTCCGTGTCAATAGGTTTCTTTCAAAGCTTTAGGGTAGTGCCTGTCGCCTCATTCCTTCTCTTTACTGACATCTTCTGGTCCATTGTTACTGTTTTCATTTGTGCTCACTTACATACTACTCGTCAAAATAAAGTAGTACACGCTCATACTTTGTATAATTTACTTCCATAACGCGACAAGAATTAGTCATTTCCATATTTTACCGTACGTCATTGTAAATGTCTATGTTTTACTATTTGTAATTAATTTTGCCCCGCCCTGTACAGCCACGCGTTATTTATTTCTGACTGCCCCAGGAGTGACTTTTACACATCTCTACTGCTTTCCTTTACCTACACCGTTATGGTGCTTTGATGGAATTGAACCTGCACACCTCACAATTCAAGTTTTTGAAGTTGTGTTCATCTTCTCATCTAAAATACGGTACTAAGTTAAAGGAAAGCTATCGAAGTAGAGCAAACGTATCAATAAATTCACAAAGAACAACATTACTAAGAAGAGGGGCTTTAGTGGTTCACTCAACACTAACCTCAATCCAGAGTTAATCTACCCTTTTCCTGCCTAACCCTAACCTATACCTAACCTGGTCCAGCCCCAACATCTCCCTCTAACGAAAGCTTAAATAAAGCGGGTGTCATGTTTCGGAATTTCACACTCCCCTCATCAATTTGTTATGAATGTAACGTCACTTACCTGAGTTCACACATTCACTGTGGTTGCCTGTTTTAATGTCATTGGCGCCTTCGTTGTCTGACCTTTCCCTCTCTAAGCATATCCATGTAAGTCAAGCATTTCGTTTATTCAAACAAAAGCGGCTTATCGCTAAGGATTTCTTGGAAGAAATTCACACTGCTCAGTTATCACGATCGGTAACTCACCACACTACCTCATGTATATGTCGAATCAAGTGATTTCAGATACAACAGACAGGTGTGGGTGTTTGGATACTTAAACCGATACACTTCCACATCGTAAGACGTTAAACACAGAACTGATACACGATGTTGATGATAATAATAGTGATAATAATAATACTCCCGATTCCGCTTATCTCAAAATAACCAGTAACACGAGGTTTATATTCCCAGTACTTTTGAAGACTAAACTCCCATTGGTTGATGCGTTTTCAACCTATCAGACAATGCAATATGTATCCAGGCCATTTAAAAGCTATGCATATGGGATCACGGTAGTATCTGAGTATTGCTCAGGCAGTGAAAGCTCCCCTCCAGCAGGGCACCTTCTCTCGCATGTCGTCTTTTGGTGATGTTGTCGTGGTTGTTGTAATAATTAACGTTGAAATGAAGGATTAGGTTGTGACCGATCAGATCAAGTCACTTCCTATAAAACGGTCGATAAATGCAAAAAGCTGAGGTTAATCTCAGGATGCTGATTTCATATATCGGATAAAGGTACGTTGTGTTGTGTTACATTGAAGTCAATCATTCGAAGTGTTAAGATTTAAGATAATAAATGGAATAAGTTTTCGAGTGTCCGGATTGTAGCAAGGTTCGAAAATATGGATAGATTTTTATCCTCCCAAAACTATTTCTCAACATTTTTCACGTGTGCTTCTACACAACAATTAAGTGGACAGACGAACACATACAAATACCTGTGAACTGAGATGAGTAGTCAGTTGGGTCAATGGAATGACATGAATATTTCCACATGTTCACTTCTAAGCTATCTGCTTGTTTCAGTGTATTGTAATCATACTCTGGAAGTCAGTGTGTATATTCATACAAATCACACTTCTGGTCACTTCCAGTCACATTCAGTCAGGCTTGTAAATTGAGCAATGTTCACTTCAAGATGAGGGAATGACAGCGAGGATATTTGTATTCCTTACACCACTCAACTTCCTGAGTCTTCCATTTGTCGATTCATAATTCACTTGGATCAGTGATCCCATGTAGGAATGAAGAATATGCAACTTTTGGGAGAGGTTTAAATGCAAATCTATGTGACTAGAACAATGAGGCAGGATGAGGATGGATAGAAAATACTGATGAATCGATGAAGTTCCTCTGGATGTATTTGCGAGGTGGTACATTTACTGATTCACTAATGTGATGAGAGATCTGCTGCTATCCTTCTTCTGTTCATTGTATTTATGATCTGACTCGAAATTCACACGCTCAAAATATTCCAAATTAAAACTAAATATCTGATCTGGTTATTTAGGTGAGAATAAAACTGCATTAAGTTATGAACAGCAATTGCAAATTGAAGAATACTTACTCGGAATCCATTCTCAAATACATTCTGCCACACCACAGGTGTCACGCTTTGTGACTCTGACGTGGTAATATTCTGAACAACTTCTGTGAGGCGTTCAAAATAATAATTTTCTAATTTATTGTAGTCTTGATCGAATCCTTTCTGTTTCATGAATTCTTGGATGTTGGCGTCTTCTTGCCTACACACAACAGAACAACATGTTTCTTGTTAGAAATGCATGTAACCTTCTACAAATTGAGTCTACTCACATTCTTTTTATGAATAGATTGCTGGATGGATAGACTAAGGGGAATTCGAATGTGTCGGCTGTGTAATCGTGGAACAATGAAACTACTTCTTGTCTTTCAATAGATAAAGACACCAGAATAGAAAGTTGGTCAAGCGTTTCATAGTGTACATGTGACGAAGTAAAGGGAAACGCATATCTGACGCCTCAATAGGCATGGATGAATGCCAATCTACCATCATTACTTTCTATAAAATATAGATTGAACTTACAATATCTGTAATTAGTAGAGCAGAATTAAGGCACTATGATAAAATATAATGCCATATTAGACCAGTTGATTCGATACAATACACAGTAATATTGTCTGAATCATTGGATGATGATATTTGGAGCACAATACGTTTGTCTGTGTTGTTAATATTGAATGAATGTCCAATGACCTGGGATATTCAAACTGGTTCCGTTTCCGTCAGAGGTTACAATACCTACTGTGATCTAGCCGCTTACTGTTCAGCAGAAGACTGGAGCAATATGGTCAGAAGTTTTATTGAGAATTATACTGATATCTATTTATAGACTCTGAAGCTGCATCGTATAGACCCGTAACATTTTGAAGCTGTAACTTTTAGTAGTGTAATCATTTGTCCTGTTATTGTCTTACCGTGCTGGTTTATTGTCAGTGGAACAATTATTATTGTTATTATTATTGTTCCCTTGGGTTCCTAGTGGAACATAGGGCTTCAACTGCACGTCTCCACTTGCTTCTGTCTTCTGCTGTACTTTTGTTTCAGCTCCTCTTCACACGATCTCCTCCATGTCACCCTTGGACGTCCCACTCGCCACTTCACTTTCGGGTTCCACTCGAGCGTTGGCCTGACGCGCGATGTCACCCAGCGACCTCCTCAGCGAGTGTCCAATCCATCTCCACTTTCTCCTGCATATTTGTTGGGCGATTGTTTCGTTTTTTGTTTTGTTTGTTCCCCTAGTTTCTTGTTGGTGATTCTTTGTGACCACCTGATCTTCAGTATAGAGCGAAGAAGTTGTTGATAAATGTCTGCAACCTGTTTGAAATATTCTTGGTGACCCGCCAAGTTTGCGATCCGCATAGAGGAACTGAATTGACGTTTGTATTGAACATCCGAATTTCGTTGTTGATGCTGAGTGACGAAGATTTCCAGATTGGTTTCAGGTTGATGGATGTGTTTGTCGCCTTCCCGATTGTCAAGTTGACATCCCCAACCGTTCCTCATGTAGTTGAGACAATGCTCCCTAGATAAGTGAAAGAAGTAACCTCTTTCAAATCCCTCCCGTTGATGGTGATTGGCGCTGGATGTTGCTGCTGCTGTTGTTGTTGTTGGTTGGTTATTTTCATAACCTCCGTCTTGTCTATGTTCACCTGCAGTCCTGTCTTTGCTGCTTCTTCGACCAGTTTATCGGTTTTTGCTTCTAATTCTCCGATTTTGTGTGACATCAAACATAAATCATCTGCGAAATCCAGGTCTTCTAGGTTCTTCGTGTCGGTTCAGGATATCCCTGTCTTCTCGTTTCCCACTGTCTGACGCATAATCCAGTCCACCACAATTAGGAATATCATTGGTGATAATAAGCACCCTTGTCTGACTCCTGTGTTTACTCCAAACGCTTCGCTGAGTTTTCCGTTGTGGATCACTTGACATGTGCCGTTGTCGTACAGCTGTTGAATAAGATTGATGAATATTTGGGGTACGCCGTAGTACTCGAGTAGTTTCCAAATTACTTCGCGGTCGACGCTGTCGAAGGCCTTCTCAAAGTCTATAAAGTTGAGGTAGAGGTTTGATTGCCATTCCATGCTTTGTTCGATGTTGATGCGTAGAGTTGATTGTAGAAACTTAGTGTGACTATTTTAACCCTTGACAGGAAGTTCTAATCTTTTTCATCCAAGCCATTTCGCAAATATAAGTTTTGATAAGTTTTACGAAATACTCTAAAGCAATCTTTGGTGAACAGTCTTCCAGTTTTATGTCCACCATAGCTATCCTCAGGTGCTCTAGAAGTCACCAGTAAGGATACCACAACTCATGCAGGTACGACCAGTTTGCGGTCTAAAGAATCGAAGCCACCTTGATTATTTGATGATCACTTCAGATATTTGTTATGCGTTTCGTCCCTACAGGAACCTTCCAGTTGCTACATTTGTGTAAATATTTTGTCACGAATTAAACAAAAACTGAGAATAACCTTTCACACGGTTGACTCTGTGCATTAATGTCTTTTAAAAGTGGTAGTGTTAAACAGCGAATATGAGATACGAAGCAAAGATTATCGAAAATTAAACTTAGGAAACATCTGGCTATTTGGCCTTTCCTCACATGATGAAGAAGCCGAATCGCATCAGATTCCTTACAAGAAATCATTCAGCCATATGCATGTGCGAAACTAATCACACATCAGAAAAAGTCAACACACTTACCATGAGTGCCTGTCGTAGATGCTTCCACCTAAATGTAAGACACGGTCAGGAAATACACTCAACACTTCGCTGAATAAATTTGATAGAAATGGCCAGACATTCTCATCGACTGGATTGATTGGTCCGTCATGTGATTCACCCGAGAGTATTTCAGGATGACTTTTGCCCCATGATAGAGTGTGACCTGGATGACAGAAAGATATGGGTGATAGTCAGCTTGTTACTTTCATGCAAACACCATCTGAGTTTATTTCACTGAATTTCATACACTGGTTGCTTGAATTTAAATGTCAATCACCATAGCAGATTGTTGTATGAAGTACGCTTCGGTGTACGATTTCTTGATGCGGTTGTTAGTAATACGGATGCTACATTAACGGTATGATATCGAACGTCTTTGAAATGGAGTCACAGGTACCAGTCCCTATGCAGTTAAACTACTAAAAACAAGTTTCAACTGGTTGGAGGGTTTTATCATGAGCTGAACTCACTTAGACAACCACTGGTAACCAACTAGGGAGTACTGGACAGCTGTCTCGTCCTAGCTTGATTACAAGGTGACTAGCCTGTAGACCATTAAGCCATACTGGGACCCGATCCAATGGCCAGCCCATGAATTCAAGCTTCTGTCAATTTATGACATAGCGCAATCACTTCTCAATGTCTTCTTCGATGAGTAAAAGCCTCACCTTCAACCTGCTGCACCCTACTAGTCACGGCTTCCCACTAGAACCCCAGGTCAATGCCAGAACAGGGCCAGTCGCTATTGATGAATTTTCACTTATTGGCTTTGTAGGAATTATTATTTAATTGGTTGGAGGATTTCATCGTGAAGTGTTATCAGTTGGAGAACCATTGGTAAACCTGGGATTACTGGAAAGTATGGTTCAGGACTCTTCTATCCCGGCGGGTGTGTACTGCGAGGAGTCCTAAACTGGGACGAAACAGCTGTCCAGTACTCCCAGGTTTTCCAATGGTTCTCCAACTGATAACACTTCACGATGAAATCCCCCAACCAATCAAACAATAATCCCTACAATAACCAATACCTGAGTAAAACGTTTTTACTCTCGAAGAAGGGTTCACTATGTTATCAGTTTTTCCAAAATAAGTTTTTTATTCCGGTTCTACCAGTTTGGATCACAAATTATTTCATTTTTATAAACTTGAGGTATACCACACTTGATTGAGCTAGCACAGCGGTTAGGACGCTCGCCGACCATCCACATGGTTCAGGGTTTGATCCCCTGCCGACGCACACCTGATATCTATGGTCAGTCTGCAAGATTTGGGCTAACGATATCATATGCTGAAAATTCCATACTTGTACCAAAAATACTGTGTGGTTTCAAGGTATAATCAAAAATTAAATTTGAAAAATAACTTTCGATAATTTTTGTGGAGGAGGCTGGTAAATTGTATCACTTTTCAGCGACTAAGTCTCAATCTCAATGTCCAAACAGGTAATCGATTTTAGCCACCTTGTGAATTCCTAAGACAGTCTTAATGTCATCTGCAGTGTGTATGAGAATCTTCTGTAAACAGTGGGGATAATCAGAACTCTTTCAAACTAAGGAAAACAACACTTCATGGATGGAGTAGCTCTATATATGAAAAGGGCTTCGTCAATCATGTGATACACAGTGGATATAGCCATTAAAATGTTTTATATATTATATTTGAGAAGTTCAGCTTTCATTCTCACCATCTCATTCTGTACTTCTAACTTTATCTTTTATTCAATTTTTTGGCGGTCGAATTAAACCAAATTCTATTGTCTACATTAAGTGATCAGATCGATCTGGTTACTGAATCTCGGCTTATTTTTCACAGACTCGAATGTGGTCTGAATGTCCTGGACATTAAGTGAAACTTTAACCTGTTAGAATCTATAAATATTTGCAGAGAAATACTCTTTCCTACCAAGGCATAGCGATGAACACACACATATTGTGGTGAGAACTGGCTGCCAGCCAAATTGGTAGACAGTAATTTACGTCAATGTTTACGTCCCCAATATTGGTCGTGAGAAAAATAAGAACAAAGACTGATTCAACAACCAGTCACAGCAGACTTTGCGTAGGCGGATACAATTTGCAGATAGATTATCTGAACTTCAATAAATGGCCACAAAGAGATGAAAGATTAACGTTCAGCGAGAATCCACTAATCAGAAGACTGTGTTTGTGTGCTTACAATAATCTATAATAATGTACATGAAAATATTATAAATATGTGTTGATTTCCTAGCCTGGCCCTTGTCTTCTGTCGTTACAATATGACCGCATAATTTGCGAATCAGTCACCCATAAACTGAGATTAGGAGTAAATGACAATTACAAAGTGCACAATCGGATGTTATCACGATAATTTCTATACTCCTCACCTGGTGAGTCAAATTCAACAATCACCCGAACACCATGTAATCGAGCGAATTCTACCAGTGAATCAATTTCATCCTTTTCATACACATACGAATGTGGATGATACGCTCCCTGAAAATACAATCACAATAAAGAAACGGTGATAACGCATTTGACTGGGAATATCTCACCTTTGAAGACAATTCAGGATACACTGAAGAAACATACGGGAAGGATTCATCATCTGTCATATGCCAGTGTAGCACATTCATCTTCACCATTGATAATGCAGCCTTTCAATTCAAAAATTATGAGTTACATAACAAGAGCAGGAGGTGGAAGGCAACTTACAATGACATTCTTGATTGTTTCAACGCTTAGATAATGTCTGGCTGTATCGATCATCATTCCTCTGTGTGGAAATCTTGGTGAATCTTCTATGCCACACTCAAGTATCGAATTCTATTATCGTGAAGTGAGCACATTTCTGCACTGTACCTTGTAGTTCTGATCTCTGAACACTAGTTGCAGGACTGTTTCCAAAGCATGTAATGCTCCCCATATTTCATCTGATTGAATGTGTATGGTACCACTGGAGACATTCAAAATATCTAGATGACGAAATTTCCCGTGTTTTTAGACTCCTAAATTTCTTTTCACCTACATGATTCCTTCATTGAATCGGATGGCCATAATTTTCCATTTTCTTCATTACAGCCTTCAGTAATATCAATTTGAATAGTGGTCACTTTGCAGGATTCTACTGAATAAGAGTTAATCCGCTGTGGTACTTCTTCTAGACGTAATGCAAAACGTTTTAACGCATCCTCTAAGATATAGCACGAATCGTAGTCATGTTTAACACTCAGGGATCTGGTGATTCCACATGGAATACCTCCTCTAGCATATTGTTTCGCTTTGGGGATTAAACACTCTGAAATTGCAATGAACCATAGTAATAAGAATGGGTGGATCAGGATCCTTTGTGAAGGTCTCATAACTCAGCTGGGTTAGGATTAAGTGAGTTAAACGACGAATGTGCTCTTTCTGATCTCTCTGTTTTCTAGTTTTGGTAAAAGGGTGAACATTTTATACTACAATTTGATGAAATTGCCATTTTAGGATCATAGTGTCAATATTTCGAGATGAATGTACACTTGAAGTGGACTTTGCATTGGTTTGTTCAAAGTGGCATGTTTTTATTGAAACACGCAGATTCACAAAGAATTTGAAAAAAGGAAGCATCAATCAAGTGCTGAAAAATTAATCAATAACTTGCAGAACTCATATGAATATCAAAGAGATCAAAGTGTTATGTTATGAAAAAATGTTGTAGACGGACAAAGTCGAGAAAACATTTATGAAGACTGTCACACAATGATAAATTACTGATTGTGTGTTGCAGAGAACATGAAGAATTCACAATATCTCGGAAACTTCTGTGTGAATCACTCGGTTCAATCACATTCTAATGAGCTTCCATTGTGGTGAATGTTGAATATAAAGTGACGCCCGTGTGGACTAAATTTACCCCATCTGAAAGTCTCTTTTGTAACACCTTGAGTGTGTGTCACATGTGATGCATCTGGAAATAGTTTATGTTTATTTCTGTCTGTTCTATCGTGATGTTATAATTATTATCAGTGTCCTTGACTCTTCATAATCTCTGTAGTACTTGTGGCAACTAATCGCGGTTCCACGCAGAACGAAACTAATCGAATATGAAGTTGGAAATTTGTTTCCCTGTTTGGAATTTGAAAGTAATAATACTGACGAAAAGATTTCAGATGATGTTACCTAATAGTTAAGCTACCTGAATCTTTGTAATCACTGTTTAGCATACACTAATAGAAAAGTCTCGGTTATCCGAAAAAGTCCTCTGATGAGTCATAGACTTAGCAGAACAAAATGTTAAGCCCGTTTGAAGAAAGGATTTAACGACTTATAATAACAATTATCATTCATTATTTTGTTCCCTTGGATTCAAAGTGGAGCATAGGGCTTCAACATCTACACATCTTCACTTTGTTCTATTCTCTGCTAGACCCACGATTGACCATAATCTGTCAACTTTTCCGACTCGCACGATCTCCTACATGTCGCCCTCACATCGACGACCCACTCGTCGCCTTTCATTAAGATTCCTCTCCACCTATGAACTGTATTGTGCGCGATGTGATTCGATGGCCACCTCAAAGTATGCCGTATCTATCCATCTCCATTTTCTCCTACATATTTGTTGAGCAATCGGCTCTTGGCTGGTTCGTCACCAGTCAGACATACTTGTTGCTCATTATTTCTGGCCGGTCATCTGATTTCTAGTGTGGATCCTACGAAACGGGCAGCTGTTCATAAATGTCTGTAACTTGTTGTAAATCCATTTCGTGAGGTGTACGCAGTGCAAGTTTCTGACCCATATATAGAAGAACTGACTGACTGACTTCACATTTGTGTTGAACAGAATCCGAATCTTGATCTTTACACTGCAGAGTGCAGAAGACTTCCAAACTGGTTTCAGATTGATGAAGGCGTATCTGGCCTTTCCTATTCTGTCTGGCTGGCTTTGACATTTTCCTCCGGTGTGAATTCCTTATGATCCTGCTGCCTTCTCAGACTTCACTGGCCTGATCGCATTCAAGTCTTCGACTTTTATTAGAAGACTGGTGTCCATTGGCAGTTTTGTTCTTAATGTTGACGGTATTTCTGGACAAGTTGCAGGTGATAGTCAATACAAGAGTCATCAGAAGTGATAAGCCCATTGTTCTATTTGTCTCTTCTGTTTGGTAATTAGGTTCCCTTGACCATCTTTCCTTCGTTTCATCCGCTTTGATCTCTTCCTGGATAGAGGCCTGGTTATCTGATATCATACTCTGAGGTAGAATAAAATGTTGAGGCTATTTGGGGAAAAGATTTCGGAACTTATCTGACCAGTATGGCTGAGCTAAAGACTCTGATGTGTGTTAGCAGAACAAAGGAGGGGCTCGAAATTATGTCTGCGATTGAGTCCGATGCTCACTCATTAAAAGAAAATTTAAAACACCTAAAGTATCTTCAGGCGGAATTGACGTTTGTTTATTCAGTTTTAAGTTGGTTCGGTGTGATCCACTAGTTTTAGCGCTTGCTTTGGTTTTATGCCGGGGGTGGTGTAATACATCATAATTCTGTTTAGATTCGCCTGAGGAGTCAGCCAACGCAGAAGGACTGCTATTCCTCTTCTCATTGCTTCAAGCTTAACTGTCAGGTGATGCAAGATTATCTCTTGTATGCCTGAAAATACAACTAACTACCTCTGGGATGAGAAGTGGTTCACACGACTTTATCGATGCAAATCTGAACTACAATCTCCCTGTGCATTCTCCCATTTTCTCTCACAGTATCAAAGAAACCAAAGTCGAAAACTAGAAACAGGAATGTGAACTATGCAAGAACAACAATTTGAGCACGATGAAACGACACCATTCATCTTTTTCATTTCAGTGGTCCTTGTTAACTGCCTACGGCCTTAAACAGTTCAAGTGCTACTACGCAAATTATCAATAGAGCTCAAATAGAAATGGAAATATAGAAGTTAACTGGAGGAGTGAGAATTAACATTACATGTTACCAAAAGGTTAAATAATAATTTAGTTGAGCAGAAGTCAAAAGATAGTCGTATGCCATTCATTGGCTATCCTATTATTCGACTGCTTCTCGAATGAGTTTCTAGATCCTTCAGCTGACTAAACGTCACAAAACCTTTCTCAGCTATGACTTCTGATGATAGGTTCCTTGACTGGTGAATGTTCTCTGTCCAATTAGTGCTCTCAGACACTTAAATCGGGTTCAGCATTCCTGGTTACAATTGTCTAGAACGACCTACCATCTCCCTAACTTCCGTATTCCACCAACTTATCGGAGATACCAAACATGTCATAATTTATTTCGGTTTCCAAAAGTCTCCACATATAATAAGTCATTTCTTGATCCTAAGAGCGCCGCTTATTATATACTTTCAGCCCAGCAAGTTCTCTTACGTAGATTGTTGACATTTTGAAGACAGGATCATTGATTCCGTCATGTACTGTTGAAGCACTGTTTTCCATTCGGAAGCCGAGGGAACAACAAATGAATAAATCGGGTATTTATAAACATGACGAATCACCAAGTTCGAAAGCGATGCGGAAATGCTGTTAGCACAGCATAAATCCCCGCAAATCCCGTAAATTACGGGACTTAAGAAGAATGTGGTTAAGTCATTGTGTTGTCTGTGAATATCTCCATTTTGTTTCCTGAGATTCCTAAACAGGAACTGAAAGCCATTGAAGATTTAAATGCCTTAATCAAAAGACAAACCTTAAGCAAAAATGAGGATTTAGGTTTTATAAGCGAAAGAGAAGATCATCTGGATTAAAATAAGTGTGAAGAAATTTCAGAAGTTCCCCTCAGAACAGCGTCCGACGTCTATGGATTTCACCTGTGAATTTATCGTTACATCTGTCGATAGCCTTTGCGATTAAACATCAGAGGATTTTATACACTTAGGAATTCATCAGCTTATATTTTCCCTGATCCTTCACTCTGTCAGCCACAATTGCACAGCTGTTTAAACACACCATTTTAACTGTGTGATTTATGCATAATTTAAGGAACACGCATCCACTTATTCTTCATCACCACATTCCGAAGCTTTTGTACTTGTTCACACAGACATTATTACACACGTAATTTGCCTTTCCTTTCCTCTGAATTCACCTAGAACGTTTGTCTAATTAACAGAATTCTTTTTCCAGCAAATTCTTTTTGACCCATGTTTCTTTATAAGGCTTTACAGGCTAAGTTTTGGTAGGTACTACAGATCACGAATTTCAGCAAAGCTGATCAAGTGTTACATAATGACCAAATATCTAGCAGCTTATCGACTGCTCAGACAATTTCTCAACTAATCGTAGAGTCTTTCTTTAAAAGACACGTTCAACAGAAGGATACATCGTCAGAAATACTGTGCTCATAGTCAATTAACACTATGTTTGTCAAGGAGTGGAAGAAGACATACCAGTATCAAGAGGTC